CATGGTGCGACACAAAGAAGATCGTTACCAGCCGTGCCAAACACGCGCTGCAGACTTCACGTCTAAACCCTAAACCGTCGACCCTAAACCCTAAACGCCGATAACGAACCTTCTCTGCCGCCTCCTGGTTCTCCCTCTGATGCTGTAGCACCACTCTGAGCTAAAGCCTGGAACTTCAGACCCTAATCTGTCGAATTGCGAAGCCACATAAAGAAAACCAACATGTAAGTATATATATATATATATATATACGGATATATGGGTATAAATATGGATAGATACATATGTACATATATATATACACATGTATATATATATATGTATGAATATGGAGCCGTTCAGTTTGCCCAAGCTGCCATGCTGCCGCTGACGGCCCAGGGACGGTCTGAGGTCACATCACCATCGGGGCATCCACCTTTCAGCTCTGGGCCAGGCTTTAAGGTTCAGGGATTTAGGGTTTCGGGTTTAGGGTTTTTTTTTGCACGACCCTTTTCCCCTCGCCGAGTGTTCACCAAGGGTTTAGGGTTTAGGGGTTTAGGGGTTTAGGGTTTAGGGTTTAGGGTTTAGTGTTTAGGTTTTAGGGCTTAGGATTTAGGGTTTAGGGTCAGGTTCAAGATCTACCTGGGGCCCCAACAGACCTACATCTTTAGGGAAGTATACATAAAAGACCATAAGAAGGAACCCTTAAACGGTAGGTCTTTTTGGCTACAGGTAGGGTTCAGGATTCCGTAGTGCACTTCGGTGGGTTCGATCCGAAGGATGCTTCTGCAAGGGATCTGTAAGTTTCGATGTTCGGATCTCGGTCTTCATCTGTTTGTTTTGTGTCCTACATTGCAAGCTCGAGCCGTTTGTGGGGGGCTCAGGTTGCCAGCTCATTTGACTTCGACATCGTTTTTGGAGGTTTAAGGTGCTGATGTGATTACCCTAAACCCTAAACCCTAAACCCTCTATGAAATGCCCCAGCACTGTATGCCATTGACGAAGGCCCCTAAGCTCTCTTCTTCAGGGAGCGGGCCTAAAAAAGTCCAAAGTTTCCAAGATAGACCAAATACATAAGGCCAACACGTTTTACGCTTTCACAACTAGGCCAACAAGTTTTTTAAGTTCTTCCATTGGGAAAGTAAGTACAATAAACAAGCATTGATGTGTCATTCAGGTTCTGACGCAATAGCTGGTGGGGTGGCTTCCGCAGCGGGGCCTGAGCCTCTAAACATCCAAGTCCTTAGTAGTTAATAACTTAAACTAGCAGATATTTGGTATGTAAGTCCTTAAGTAGTTGATAACTAAAACTAGCAGATATCTGGTATGTTTCGTTTTGTGTGTGGCTTATGGGAAATTCAGGATCATGTTCATCAGACTTGGCTCATCCTAATCGTAACTTCCTCGCAGCTGCCCGCAACACCTAGAACTGCTAAACCTACATGCCCTAAACACCGCAGGAGACTGTATGGACCAGGCCACTTACCAAACTCCTTGTAGTCGACATCTGCCCAAAAGCAGCCGCGCTCCGCAAGGATGGCTGCTTGCAGCTCAAGACTTTGCGGATCAGAGTTGGGGCCGATCTTGATGCTGAACTGTCTGACACTTTTGGGAACCGGCGAGATGGAATATGTAAGAGCTTGAGGGCATGACTTTGGGGGTTTTGCCCTGTGGCTTTGGACATAGAAGGCTGCTCGGGTCGACAAAAACCATGACATGCTACATCTTGACAGAGGCTTGCTCAGTGTGTTGGCAAATGCTGCGATCTGCATGCCGGACCTGCGCTCTTGTGGCAACGAAGAGTTAGGTTACAGTCCCAAAAGTCCGAACCCCTAATCATGAAACCCCTAGGCCTACAACTTGAGGCTCAGAGGAGTAGTCGACTGTTTGATGGTTTGATGAGCTCGCGACTCCTGGCTATAATTTCTACTCGTCTGCAAAAAATGCGCCGTTAAGTTTGCTTTGAACATGTCAAAGCCTGTTGTGGTAAGCATTGCTACTGCATGCTCCTAGTCTGTGGATCTTTCCACGGGTCAGGTGTAACGGTGTAACATGTGAATCCGGAAGTGCCAGCTTATAGTACAGTCGCCGGAAAAGGTAACATGTCTCGAACCCTTGTGCAGCATGCGAACCCAAGCTGCGCAAATCTACCACGGAGTTGATCCGTGCTACTCTAGAGACTCTACAGGTCTGATTAATAATCAGTAATAGCAGCGCAGGCAGTCCCCATCAGAATTGTGCTAGACTACTACCGCAGGACGAAAGTTCGCCACACAGCTTCGAAGTCAACCATGAGACGCTGGAACCGCCTTTCCCCCCTAGAGTCCGCGCACAAGATCCCACAAGCACTCCGCCGAGAACATTATAGTAGTATAATTGAAAAAAGGAAATTAACTACTCCGCCACGCTGGCCAGGTAAAACGGACCTGTGGCTACTCCGCTTCTCCGCGATATAACATCCTCCGTGTGTCGAAACTTTTGTCCCGGCGATGTAGTTCTAGTCATTGAGGCCCCTACAGTACCGAGCATAGCTTTGCGACTAGACAAGCCAGGGCGGCAGAGCTATCACGGGCGCTGTCGTTGAAAGCTTCTGAAGAGTTGTGGGTGGGACATGGGTGAGGCATGGGGGAATCCTCAGCCCGGCCCTATACACCCTGAAACCACCTAAATCCCAACTTCAACGAATCTAGACCACTCATGCTCGGCAAGAGAATCTCAACACAGACTTCCGCTTCTTTTCCAGCTGATTCCCGCTGGTGCTGTCTTGACGTGAACTTAGACCTATCTATCTATCTATCTGTCTATCTATCTAGCTCTCTCTCTCTCTCTGCCATATATTTCCATGTCCGCCACTGTGCCTTCGTCCAGCTTCAGGGATGCCAAATCATCTATGGAAACCTGCACGGCCTCCACCAGTGCGCTGCCACGTACAAAGATGTCGTCCACGCTCTCACTACAAGTCTTGTTTGGGAGTCGATACTGAAAGACAAAGTGCTCTTGAGGGTTCTGTTCTTCACAGGCGGCAGTCAGGTTCGCGATCACGTTCCCGAGCCGTCGGAAGCAGCCTGAGGCGTATCCCTCCGCCCAGGCCTTTCGCACACTTCTGATCCGCTAGTTCAGTGACTCTTCGTCGTGCGAGGCCTTCGCAAGCAGATCCTCTGCACCACAGCATGCGCCACAGATATAGATTCGTATTGGTGAAGCCCTTGGCCCAGCCCCAGCCAACTCCTCCGGTGGGCGTGTTCAACGACTCGTCCTTGCTCAGCTCTTCCAGCAGCATCTGCTGGACCGCGCCTGGCCAAGTGCTATGTCAAGCTCGTGACTTGTGGCGAACTCGCCGCTGACCCGTGCTCTACACGGATCCCGAACACCGAGGTCATGACACAAGGATGGTGCACCAATACTGCTACATGGAAGATCGAATGTGACAAACGGCGTCCTGCTAAACAGGCAGATGGAACACAACTGCCAGAGGCAAGCGAGAACAGGGGCTTCCGGTGCAGAGCGACATGACACCAGAAGCTCACATCATGAGCATCTGGGTCCTTCCTCTTGAAGACGTTCATGTCCATTGTGATCTCGACTAGATCAGACGCCGGAGCACTGGCAGACCTGTGGATTCAAACCCCTCTTCGCAGTTGCAGCAATAACATAACGGCTTCAGCCTTACGTGCTTTGGAATTCGTTGAGGTTTCATGGGAGTCCCCAGTATATTCACACATTCAACCCTAAACCCTAAACCCTAAACTCACAATAAACCATCCCCGAAGTCGATGTCTCTGTGGCAAACGTGCGTCGGAATCGTTTCGTGCACGTGCAACCTGATGTGAGGCGACACTGTCTCAGCAATACTACTCTTGTAGGACCTGTACATGTTGCTCCTTCGGAATCGCAACTTAGCTCTGTAGTGTTCAGTCGACGAAAGCAGCCATGCTTGTTCTAAGACGATACGTCGGCGGCAGTGCTTCTAAGCTATAGTCACGTACAACTCCAATACTGCTTAATGGCACGTCTGCACAAGTGCGGCATGGCGTGCTAATTGCAGCTGGGTACTGCCCCCCATTGCTGCTATTGTGAAACAAACATTACCCGATCTGCCGGCGAAACTCGAACCTAGCATATTTAGTATACTCCTCAAACAAGAGATATAGCTTCCCCATAACCACAAGCCCTCAATCCACAATTTGCCTGCAGGCCTCATCGCTGCTCCATGGGCTGCCAGGAAGATGCTCCACATCTGCAGTAAGTCCACTCGAAGTTCAACCTGCGCATGTGTCTCTCACCAACCCCAACACCCGTGATCCCTGTGGGGCAGGGATTGCTGCAGGTAACACTCCGTCCCTAGACCGTACATATGGGCATCCCTCGGACGACTGTCTAGTTTTGTTTTCGTTCGAACCCTTTTGTCCCAAAACATTAACAGCATTATAGTGCTTAAACCCTGAACCCCAGTGAAAACCCTTAAGCCTTAAACTCTGGCCTCAAAATACTTCGGAATGTCAATGTGTTTTTGCAGCGGGACCGGGATTCACACTGTCAGGCAACACAAGCCTTGAATCCCAAGTTGGAGCCCAAGCACCTCATGCTCCAGTACTTCGGATGCTCCACAGTGACTCTGCGCAGATCGCCATGCGAATCATTCCTGCAGGGGTTTAGGGTTCCCTAAACCCTTTTGAAACCGGACTTGATGACTGCCAGCATTGCCTCTTCTGCCGTTGCCTAGACCCTAAACCTTAAACCCCAAACCTTAAACTCAGAGTTTAGTTGGGGTTTGGGCTCGATAGAGGCTCTCGGCTTCACAGAGGCGGGCTTCACAGAGGCGCTAGAGGGATCCGTGTGTCACTGTGGTGATGCTTGTGCATCTGTACATGGTGTGAGTGCAACAACAGCCTCACAAAACAAGGGCCCGAACGACCACATAAATCTGAGGATCTCGAATTTTGGTGCCTCTGTATATGTCAAACATGGGGTCCTTGTCCTGTAGGTGATTTTGGGGAAGCGTCAATGACCGGTCCAAAGCTCTAGTCCGGACGACACGCCCGTGCACAGGCAACGATCGCAGCTTCGAAGGAGATCTTGTCTGGCTCCTGGGGACCAAAACTCCGAAAGTCCTCAGAAAAGGACAAACCCTGAAATCACACTACGCATCCCAACATAACCCAAGGAGTATTCCTCGTATAAGAGGCCGGCATGGGGCTCTAACATGTGTGAAGGTGAAAGTAGGGGCGAATTCCCTTCCAGAGCCAGGATGTGTACAAAGACAAAGAGAGAGAGAGAGAGAGAGAGACGCATGCATTTGTGCACACACGCACTCTCTCTCTCTCTCTATAAATGTATGTATATATATATATATATATATTCACACATATATTGTTGTTGCTGTTATGTACTGTGAAATAACTGTATATATATATATATATATACATGTGTATGCGTGTATGCATGCATGCGTGTATGCTGGTATGTATATGCTGGTATATACATGTAGCTAGATGTATACACACGTATCCATGCAAATACATGTGAATATATGACGGTGTATACAAAAGTAATAGCCGCAATAAATATCAAACAACAAGAAGGATAACGATAATAATCATCATCATAGTCACCAAAACGAGCATAATAGTACAAACAACAGTGTTGACGGCAGTGACAATGATGTTGGCAATTGTAACGGCAATGCTGCTGATAATGATAACAGTAACTACTCGTATGTGGTTTGCGTACCCTTGCTTCCGTTAGTGCTTCTGGAACAACACAGGCACATGTAGATATATTGTGCTTGTGTGTTTGTGCACGAGGGCCTGCATGTGTTCATGTACCTATCTGACAGCATTCTCAGCACTTACGATCTACATACGTAACTTACGTACAGGCAGGCAGGCAGGCAGGCAGGCAGGCAGGCAGGCAGGCAGGCAGGCAGACGTGAATATGTACATACACACAAGTGTACATACGCACATGGATATCCATGTACATGCGTGCATATACATACATTCATGCACACATACATACTGACTTACGCGCATGCGTACATGCATACGTACATACATACATACATACATACATACATACTGAATTACCTGCATACTGTGTTTGATACCATGACATGGCTGTTCATGCTGCTCGTGTGTGTCGTATAACCCACAGGAACAACATCCGTCCTATAGATTTATTTAAAACATCCGTGCCATGTCAGCTCTTGTTTACCACGCCAGAAAGTTGAGAGCGCAGGTCTAGGGTGGTTGGGAGGTTTTGACAGGAGCATTCGTAAGTTGTGGGTCGACCCCTTCGGAGCAGCATGGGTGCTAGTCATTGACGTTGAGTGCAATGAGAGGCAGCAACCTACACCTCAAACTAGCGCCAAGGGCCCCAGAACAGCACGCAAACACATACCTTTCACAGAGAAGTCCCTTCTTCTTCTTGTTAGCTACGGCGCTTTAAACGGGATAGCAGTATCCAGATGTTTCTATATGCATCAACCACTTCTTACTGAACCGTGGAAGCTTCTCTGCACAGGAAGTTCAGCTTCGGGATGTCCAATCAGCGGAGTGGTTTTCTATAAGCTCGAATTCCGCTCTTAGGGCGAGTCGTGGGCAAGGTTCGGTGTGACAACTCCGGTTTGTGAAGCACGAACACAGTCTCAACAAAGTCCAGGGTTTTGCCGTATGGAAAAGCCTGCCTGTGGGCATCTTTACGCTGACACGGATATTCACATCTTGAAATATACAAGAGGAGATGCGTCTGCTCTCGCACGGTTGCGTTACGCGGAGAAAGAAGAAAACAAGAGAACCAAGCGTGCCAGTGCAATGCTGCATGATGGGGTTGGTAAATACCAGGGCCATGCTTGATTGCGTAAGTAGTGCATAAGTGTAGATATGAAAGTGTGCACTTGCGCCCGGACTTATGTTGTCTTACGTATGCCACGTAAAGCCACTCTGAATCCAGCAGTCCAGCTGGGCAGAGGGCAGCTCATCCAGCAAAGCCATTGCGCGACGCCATTCTCGGCCTTCGGCACAGGCCAAAATGACCTCGGGCTGAGCTGCAGGGATTTCAGGTGCCGGATGTCTATAGACTATAACCCTTTTCTAGTCTAAACCCTAAACCCTAAACCCTGAGTATCACCGGGGAGAGATGAAGGGACTCCACCTAAACGGCCCGTCAAAGTGTGGGACTAAAAGAATCCGCCGTCGTGCCCATTCACCTGTTCCAACCGTAAGATACCGTAAACTATAGCTCCTGGGTATTGTAGGGGCCTTGGGGTATTTCAAAATAGCACATATAAGTATATCCAGGAACCGCGCTGGACAGTATGAGCATGTCTTCAAGACCCTATACTATGTTTGTCTGGGGCGGTTTTTGCTTGAAGATCTGAATGCGGGGACCACGCACGGTCTGATGCGAAGACGGTCTCTTTGGGCATTTTCTAATCTCGGCGTGTTTACCCGGGTGTATTTGGGGCAGGCGGTCATGCTCTTTAACGGTGTGACATGTGTGTCTGACACCTGAAACCAACATAGAAACCCTAAGCCATATTATACGACACCAAAACCTGCACTCTGAACCATCTTGGCTTTCAAACCTAAACGAAAGCGAATGAAATTCAAACACATTTAAACAGATGAACTATACGACAAGTGAGGGTTTAAGGTTGCGGGTCTAGGGAAGGTTTAAAATTTAGAGTTTACACCAGTCCAAACAGCAGAAATACAAGAAAGAGGCAGGAATGGAATAGCTATTGAAGCTACACCAAGAACTAAACTAATCACTTTAAGGTGTATTCCTGATTCATGGTAAACCCTAAACCGTAAACCGTGTAAGAGCAGTTCTAGGAGTCTAGCACATGCGAGAACTGCAAGAAAATGTGGCGCAGGATCATAGAGCCGATCCGAAGCATCAAAGCCCCCAGAAGCATGTGGGTAGTTCTCCAAGTGAGGGTCCCTTTTAGGGTTATTTAAAGGGATCTATAACGGTTTCTATAGGGTTTCTATAAGGATACTATTTGGGCTCTATTAGCTTCCCTTTTAGGGTCCTTTGTATTTAAGGTGCCGTACTATGTTTGGGATCTAAAAAATTAAAGGATCCTAATCTAGAGTCTAGAGAACTACCCATGTGCATCTTGTCGCAGCTCGCACGAAAGAGTGTTTCCCGGGTTGTGCTCTGAAGCATACGTACAAGACCGCAATCTGGTGGTCACATATGTAGGGTCTAGCCTAGCAAGGTCCGAGCGGCGGCATTGTGAGTGATCAAGTCACGCTGGAGTGATCTCAGCCTTGGATGTGCGACAGCGTTGACAGCAATTGACTCGTACTGTGGATGGACAAAATTCTGCATGACCCAAATATAGTATAGTACCATAAATCCCATAGATTAGGTATATAGGGTCATGCAGATTTTTGTCCATCAACCGTACTGTACTCTTGCTTCAGCCACCAAGTATGATCACATTGCACGCATTGACCAGGTGCATCTGCACATGCTGACGATAACTCAGCCACAACGGCACTACTTCTAACACGATCGCTCCTAAGACCCTAAACCCTAAGACCCTAAGCCCTGACTGAGCAGCATTGAAGTTCAATGCTTCGGCCAAGAGCTTCGGACATTCGTGGCAAAGGAAGGGGCGTTGACGGTTTTGGGGTGTGCGGGTTAGGTTCAAGGCCTCTGGAATGTATGTGCTTGCCTTTTGAGTAGGGTCCACTTACCTGAACCGAGTTTCACCAGGAATCTTCTGCACCCGCCGCTCCGCCCGATCCGACCAAATGCAGTACAAGTGTCTCAAACTCTGCGAACAAGGCCAGAGCACACTTCCACGCCTTGCCTGCCAGCGAACCAAGGAATGACCAAAACACCTTTATCTAGCAGTACGGGTTTACGGTTTGGGTTTGTTGTGCTTCTAGCTAGATTTACGATTTACACAACATCCTTACAGCGAGACGTTTCTGATTCCAACTAGAAATTTCTGCCGTTGTATGTGGAACTGCACATGAACCTCTCAGCAGGTTTGCCAAGATGGGGCTTTGGGGCTCCGTTGACAAGAGTCGGGTAGCGGTATCGACAAGGAAAGGCAGCAACAAGGTCTCGAGATCGCGGTGGCCCAAACGTGGAAGCCAAAACCTATTCATTCAAGATAGCCCAGAGATCCAGCAGCATTGAACTATCGTACATGAACATCCCTGGAGATTGAGAAGCCTAAATCTGTCGTCCGGAGAATAATTCTAAACTCAGGGGTATTGAGCTCCCTGCGAAGGTGCCGATTCGACACCCGCCAATGATGTTTTTTGAGTCTGGAAGCTCACAATGCGAGGCAGGTATGATAGGCTTGTCTGCAACCTAGAGAGCTTGATACCCTTGACTTAACGGGTAATCATGTAATCACATCAAGATGCCCCTATACATTGTAGTTCAAAGAGCTCACGCGTAGTGGGTTCGCTGGTAAATTGCATGCAGCTCGGTCTTCGTTCGGATATACAGTGCGACGTGAGCGGCAAGCCTGCGCAAACGACCGATACTACGGACGGAGACGATGCATCCTAGAAGTGAACGCTAAACTACTGGGGTTTAGGAGAACCTGCACTACTGCAACGACAATGTAACAACAACACAAAACAAGTCCCAGCTGCGGAGAGTTTGACGGAGTGGTAAATTGGGCCTAGGGTGTAAGATAAGGTTTGGGGGTGTATGGAAGTTATGCATGCACTGCAGCCGGTAACCATATTTTCTCGTTTTGCCTACACGACCTTTATTCGAGTGATCCTCCAAGCATGCTGCAAGCTATTAGGTTGAGTTGAGTGTTTACAGTTTATCATTTAGAAACTTCTGTTCTGCCTTCTGACCCTCAGGTGGTACAACAACACAGGCGAAGAAGAACTGATGCCTAAGCAGAAGGCGCCTCGAGCCCGCTGTTGGTTTCATATATAGTCGGAAGGCTCTGGCAATTCAGGCTTCACAGCGGTTCAGATGAATCAAATCGCACAAGAGACAAGTCTTGGTTCCGACGTCTACGCATGGCGCAAACTACGAACGTAGCTTGTACAGAGCACGACTCAAGTGGGTTTTTCGGGCTTAAAAGTTCCTATTTTGACCAAACCCTATGCTCAACAAGAAGCTTACCGGAAAAAAGGTTAGAACCAAAACAGAAAGTCAGCTCTGCGAGCCACCTTTCTCGCAAGCGCTGATGGCTGCATTGCAACCTGAGCACAGCACAGCTTTGACTCAGATTCAAGTACACTTCATGTGGGTGAGCCCATCTTGCAGCTAGAAAGCCCGCCCACAAACCCCACGTTGATTCACCCCAGAAGAACGCGCTGATGGCTCAGGGTTCACGCTAATTAGACTCTCAACCCTTTTGCGATTTTCTCCTGGTTCTGTCTTCTTCTTGGAGAGTCGACGGGCAGTGCTGCAGGATTTGATATGGTTGAAAGTTTTTTTGCTTAGGCTTAAGAAGATTAACTCAGGGCTTACGACCGACGCCACTATACCTACAATACATACTTTGGCCCGAGCGGGCTTCACATTTCTATACAACCAGTTTAAGATGGACCTGTTGGGTTGAGGACAGAGATTGCGTCTTTGGCAGCGTGCCCTTCCATGTCCGCGTTATGGCAAGCTGGAAAGAATGCCTAGATTATTCCCCAAACCCTAAACCGTACTCAGCATTGCAAAATGTAAGGAGTCTCAGCGCCGGTTCTCCGAATTGGGAGCGGTTTAGGCTTCGAGCGAAGCGTAGTGTCCGGGAGCTATGGTCGCCTATGGGCAGGAGCCAGAAACAAACTCATGCTTAATTTGCTCGGCTTCCCACTCGCAGCCAAAAGACTGATCTCATCTGGCAGCAGCTCGTTCTGCTCCAATCGAGCCCTGGCACCACGTTTTACCGTTTTCAAGTGGGCTCCCCTAAACCCGAAAGTAGCCCCTAAACCCTATAAGTCTAGGGTTTCGGCTCCTGTGGCTTCTGTAATTGGCTGGCTGCTTTTGTGCAGGCTTGCCGCAGCATGCATCACCAAGGAATAAGGGCTTGGGGTTTAGAATACCAAAATACTTCATAGCACATATATGCCTTACCGTTGCACGAAGCACACCTCAAGACTGATCAAAGCATGTGCACAGCACTGCGGGCTTTGAGAAGGGTCCAGCGCTTCATTGCTGCTGCCAATGCTTTACACCCTACACCCTAAACCCTACAGAAATGCTTCTGAAAAGCTTACGATGCGTCCCGTTTGGCTGAGCCCCTGACATTGGCGAAAGGCATAAAAACAAGGACCTATTGCATTACCTTATCTTATTTTGTTTTATGTAACACTATACCATATCCGTTACCCTCAAAGGACTCATATATTAAGGCTTTTGGGCCCAAAGACCCTAACATAAAAGGCCTTTGGGCTATTTTGATGCTAATGGTATTCGATTATATATCATATTTTAGTTTATCTTAGCTTTAAAAATGCCTGGCCTTCCACTGTCCTGACCTGTTCAAGCCCGTGAAAGGTAGCGTTCCCCGCCCGAGATTTCTGAAGCTTAGGTGGCCCTTTCTCCGTGGGGGTTGGTGGGTGGAGTGTGCTTCTAAGCAGGATCCTCCTAGTCAGCCTTTTTGCAAAGTCCTCTACTATACTTAGAACGTTCATGAACACGAAGAAGGCCAATAAGTCTAGTGAAGTACCTTCGGGTCTCTCGCTGCTTGCAGCCACAACCACATCTGACTCTCCGCCTACAGGTACTTGTGAACCTTCGGACCAAAACACCCGAGGCCCGAAACCCTAAACCCTCAAACCTAAACCCTAAACCCTAAAATTAAACCCTGGAAGCAAAACGCAGAAAACATGTCTGTGGTGCAGAAAGGCCAAGGCGAGTTGCCACTGCTGCCCTGCCAAGACTTGCGGGAATGAATTGGGGGTTTAGGGCTTGGGGCTTTGAGTTAAGTGTTTTAAGTGAGCCTTTCAAGTCTTGGCGCTCGTTTATTGAGGGTTTAGGGTTAGGGTTTAGGGTTCAGGGAAAAAAGGGTTCAGGGTTTAGGGTTTAGGGTTTAGGGTTCAGGGTTTAGGTTGAGTTCAGAAGCTATATACGGGCTTCGCAATTAGCCGCTGTTGGAGTGAGAGCAAGCGCCTCGCTCTGGGCTATTCCCTGTTTCCTGGCAATACCTGATCTACTCAGTGGGGAAAAGTAACTCAAGCCTACTACACTTTCCGAGTATCTCTGGGTTCGGTTCTTTGCTTCACCTCAGAATCATAAGCCGGGCAAAAATCGTCAAACACTATCACCCCCCTAAAACCCGAAATCTCCCACTCAGGGCTTAGGGGTTTCGGGGTTTCCGATTTACGCTACAAAGTTGGCAGGAGGCAAAGATAAACGAGGCTCCGTAGGAGGGTGTGAAAGGATTCAGGGCTTTGCCTTCAGGATTCTTGGACTTTGGGCCTTCAGGGGCTTATGGGGATACCCGGTTTAGGGTTTAGGGCTTGTGGGGATACACGGTTAGGGTTTTGTTCTCTCTCGCATAGCATAGAACAATGCTCACAGGCGAGGTTGAAACCCTCCCGGTTCAGGGTTTAGGGTTTCAACCAGGAGCCTTTCTCACAAGCACTGAGCACGGCGTTGTAGGTGATGATGTCTGCGGGCACGTGCATTCGCATCTGGAGATTCCTTTCATGGCAGCACTCTCACGAAACCTTTTTTGCGTGTGCCCTTAACCCTACATCCTTAAGCCCTCTGAGGCCCATACCGCATCTCAGACAAAAGTTGCAAGAAAGAATCCTCAGGACTCACATTGCTAAGGTCCTATACCCAGGCAAGCCATCCTAGCCGGCAGCTTTCCAACATCCTAAATTCCTAAATCCTAAAGCCCGGTAGCCCTTTAAAGTTGGTAGTTGTGGCATGTTATGGCTATACTTCAATACACTGGTCGAATTTTGAAAGCCCCTGAAAAAGCTTCGGTCTTGCAGTGAATACAATTCGTCTTCGTCATTAGTCGTAGATTGATCGTTCTTGCGACAGCCTGTATACCCTAAACCCTAAACCTCCCACTCTTACTCCGAATCCTGCTCCTGCTCCTCCTCCTCCTGTCCAACTGATGCGACTACGACGATGACTAAGAAGGCGGCTCCTGCTGAAGACAAGAGAAACTGTGGAATTGTGCCAGCACCACCAGACTTGCAATATGAACATTGCTATCCGTAATTAAACGGCACCAGTAGTTACGACAACAAAGCGAAAAGGCCCACCCAATTGCCCTAAACCCTAAACCCTAAACCCTAAGCCCAATTGCCGACGAGAGGCATCATCTCCAATGCTTGGTGCCACTCCCCGCACTTCTCGCAGGCGGAGATGGCTGCATTGTAGCACACATCCTCTGTTGGGTGGTTGTCAAAATTATGGTCCCTTTTTGGGTCCTTATTATAATACGGCACCTATTATTTAGGGTACCCCAAAAAAACATAATTTTGACAACCACCCTTGTGTTGAATGCTGACTTGAGGTTTGAGGTTCAGCCTTTCAATTCAGGATGGGATGTACTTCTATGTTAGTGCCAAGATTGCGCGGGTGCGAGTGATGGAAGTGGTGCACTGGTGGAGTGGCGGAGCCGTCACGGTTGTCAGGCTGCTGCTGACGATGGCTGTTGTCGGGGCGGCAGCAATGGCAGTGACTTTGTCAAGCCCATCGCAATATCACCTTCTATAAGCCACTTCAGTTCATCTGAACGTACCGAAACAATTTGTTCGGGCGCTAGTCTGTTGACCGCCCCTGGTTGGGACATCATAGCAACATACGTGTGCAGCTAGTTTTGCTGCTGGGACAGTCTAATTCACATGCTGGCAAAGCCTGTAACCCCTGTGGCCCCGGACTCTATGTGCTTTCTGCGACGAGACGCGTTGCCCTCAACCTGAAGCGCATGCATCATGTCCAGCAAGTGGTAGGCGACCTCCCGTTTTCACCGAGTTGCTGGCAAAACAAGCACCATGATTCAATGGATCTTAGCACATAACATGCAAAGTCGTGCGCCCCAACTTGACGCAGTTAGCTATCCTTTTCGTATGGACTGCTAGAAATTACGCCCTGACTCTAGCTGCTGCTCTAGAAAGAAGCAAGGTTGACCTTGTCACTATGGTAGGTTTATACTAACCCGACAAGGTACAGGTCCCCTACTTGCAGCTCCACCGCCCTTTCCACAACAACCTGAAAGGTTCTCGACGTGAGGTTCATGCAAGCATCACTGCAAGTTTTCCCTCGGCAAGCAGGTTGATTCGGAATTGCTTCGTCTTACTACAACTTAAGTGTTGTAGTACCAACTAGACAACCCGGTCCTCAAAAAACCCTCAGTCTAGTATCTATAATACGAAACCCTTTCAATCCTGCCAGCAAAACCATCATCTGGCCCAAATCCTAGCTTCAAAATCCTGCGATTTGCCAGGAATTTGTGCTAACGCCATGTCGAAGGTGCCTGCCACTGTCGCGCTTTCTCACATGCACTGAGGAGTGCCTCAGCTGCTCATGAGGATAGGGGCTTCCGAAATTTCAAGCACATGTCCATCTTTCGTCCTTTGTCTGTCTCTTCTTCACTCTAGCTTCGACTGTCCATGTCGAGCCTGGCACAAGTCTCAAATTCGATGCATGTGCAGGTGCAGGTACCTCTACAGGTGCATGAACCTTTGTTGGCTTGTTTTTTGAGGTCATGTGACACTGAAATGCCTATCGTACCTTAGCACAGTGTCTCCGAAGCCGTTACGCATCTTCGGTGTCTTTTTGGCTGGATGTCAGACCCTGTCGTGAGTGTTGTTCGAAGTCCTCCTCCAACTGGCTAAATGGGAATGATGAGATTTGGAGGTGTTGATCTTAACTTACGTTCCTTCTCGAGTTGGTTGTGTGTAAGTTGCCAGGACACCGGGTGCCTCTAAGGGAGCCTTGATGTAGAACCCAGTCCTCCGAAACCAAGAACTTGGGAAGGCTTTTGCACCCCGCAAGCATGTGTGTCTGCATTGTGCTCCTGGAATACCAGCAAAGCTTAGGAAAACTGGCAGGTATCACGTTAGGCCACAAATAAATGACAGAGAAATGCCAGCCGCCGCCATCCTCACAACGCAGAGCGCGCGCTCTCAACACTCACCCACCCCCCCATGCCACTTCTGAATCCTGCAATCCTGTGCTACAGCAACAAACAGTGTCAAAAGCTAGCGGAAAATTCGGCATGTCAACTGCGATTACTCCAACCACCGAACATCTTTGTGCGGGAACTGAGTGTACATACGGAAATCTCTGACCCGAAGCTGTCTTGGCTGCATGCAGGCTGCGCCGAAGGTGACGGTGCTCGGCTCTGCCTCTATGTTCCAACTATACGTTTCTGCGCACTCTCAGGCACGAAGTTGGAAGACCAAGCCCCTACATCATCGGGCGGGCATGAGAGAAAAGAGTATTATTGTTGTTCGAAAGCTTTTTTGCAGGACCCCAAAGGAAAGCACTGTAGCCTTCGACGCAAAGATTTGATCCAAAAGCTCCATTGCCGGCCGCCATTCTTCTCCACAGGCGGAGATAGCCTCACACCCAGAGCTCGTTGGGTTAAGATTTGTCAGCTTTTGCTACCTCCCACCTAGCTAGGACGAAGCCCGCGTTGCAGGGTACAGTGGAAAGCGCAACAGGGTTCGAAGCGTGTGAGCAGCTTGTCAGATTCAGGGTCAGGGATTTGGGGAACACGGTTGATGATATAAATCCTGCCTTACCCATAATCAGGAATATGGCATAATTCCCGTAGTTTAGGGTCCTTAAGGTAATGCAGGATTTATATCATCAACCGTATGGAAGAAGTGTCAGGGCTTTTGAAAGAAGTCGAAGTTCGGATGGAAATCGCGAAACCGCTAAGAGTCGGGTGGCGGCATTGCAGCTGATGACATCAGGACGTAGATCCACGTCCTCTGCCATGTGCAAGCTCTATAACTCGGAAGGCACAATGAGGATTGTGCGGTTGAGGGCTCTCAAGCTTCCAAGGCTTCAGGGGTGAAGGGTCTGAGTCTGAGTGTTAAGGGGGTCAGGTTTGGGGCTTAATTAGGATCTTTTTGTCCGGAGAAAGTATGCAGCTTCAGCTTTGGTCCATTTCTTGAACCTGCTTTTGCATCCGGACTATAGGAAAGTCAGATGCTTGGAATCCTGAAAACCGTACCCTGCGTACGTATACATGCTGCGTTCCCGTATCCAACAGGACCCTAAACCTTTAACCCCAAGGCGCTAATGTCCTTCATCTGCGACAGCAGATGCAGCGCGGCCTGTCCGTCTGTGAAGTCTTAAGGAATGAATAAGGACCCCTGTTATTCAAGATTATATCGACAAATGAAAGGGTTTGGGTCTGTGCGATGTATGCGAGGTTAGAGTTACAGGTAAAGGTCAGCGTTGTACACGGATATATCGAGGTGAGGACGGTCAAATGTGTACGGGAAAACGCATTAAGGTACTCATGTCCGCCAGTAGGCTACTCTAATGTAGCAGCCTTCATGATGTTCTTAGCGGCAGATTGCGGTACTTATACAAGGACTGTTGGGGGACACCACTGTCAACGATTCCGGCCCCTATGCTACCCTGCATTTCGTTCCTGGCTGTGTCTTCGCCTTACCAGTTCGATTGCCGCAGGTTGTTGGTCGACCTATATGTTTTCGTGTCCTAGGGAACCGAAATCTACCTTTGGGATTATATCGGGATTCCGGTTCAAGATCACTTACTCTACTAGTTTGAGCCCCGTCGACACTGCCTTGTACTGCCCTCTGCCCTGAAGCCTCCATCCTACATCCTAAAATCCTCAAACTCTACACAATCCCTCTACGCCCTATAAAACCTAACATGAGCCCATTCAAGTTGCAAACTCTCTACGCACTCGACCAGAAATCGACGAAAGTCAGAAACATCCTCTGATCGTCACTGTATACTTATGCCACGATATTCCCTTATAGACACCCTTTAAAACCCTAAACCCTAAGCCCTAAACCCTACCAAGGCAAAGACTGAAAAGCGGCATCTTGCGTGGGCACGGGAGGGCAGAGCTCAGCTTAAGCCTTATAGGGGTTTAGGGTTTAGGGCTTAGGGTTTAGGGTTTAGGGCTTAGGGCTTAGGGTTATAGGCTTTCGAAAGGCTCCCCGAATGTAGCTGTCTAGGTTATGAAATTACAATAACTACTGAGTATATTTATGCAACCTCTGCGTTTCAGGGTTTAGGGGCCCTCAACTACCGAAGGCCGAACCCCAGCACCTGAAGACCTTCAAGACCCTGAGCCTTCAGCTATCAACGCTGAACCGTCGAGCCTGACCTGCTTCAGTATATGCAGCAAAGACCCATAGCTGGAACGATCACGTTCAGAAAGCTTGAGAAAACCCTCCTGAAAGGAAAGGGCCTCGAAAAGGGCAATGATAGTCCTAAACCCTAAACCCTAAATCGCACATGCCTCCCACTGCTGCCCTTTCTCGCAGGCGCTCATTCCGGCATTGTAGCTGATCCTCATCGCGGGTCCCATATAAAGCCTTCTATCTTGAACCCTGGAGGATTTAGCACACCCGACAAAGCCGCACAAAGGCTTGGAGGTGTGCGGTTTGAGGGCAGGACCTCGATTTTTCCGATTCCGGGCGTAATTGTAGCTCACGAGAGATCAGGGAACATGGCCTCGCAACAAATGACTACAGAAATGAAGGGCCAAATGGCACCCTAAACCCTAAACGCGAAACCATAAAAAACCCTGGCTTTTGGAGTCCTCAATGAGAATAGTGCACCCACCGGGCTAAGGGCTGAGACGGTTGGGTTATCGATGCTTTGAGAGTACGATGTGAGGCATGACAGCCAGCATCCTCATCGGGCTTCGGCTTCAATTCCAACACAAGGAAACACTGCTCAAGGTTTGTGTATAGTATAGAAGTATAGAAGGACTTAGAATTAGCTACACAAGGAAATACTGCTCAAGGTGTGTGTATAGAAGTATAGAAGGACTTAGCATTAGGATGTCGCAATGAACGAAGTCGGCCATAGAGTCACTTGCTTTTGCCTGCCAAGATGCAAGCCCGTGGAAACCTGAAAACTACTTGTACCCCAGTCGGTGTAGAGCCTGCCCATGAATCTTAATCTTCCAAACTTCATCGCGATGTTTGTAGGAGTATAGAAGGACTTGGAAGTGGGATGTCGCAAAGAAGAAGTTGGCAATTGAGCCACTCGCATTGGCTTTTCGCGCTACCCAAGGTGCAAGCCCGTACCCCGGTCACTGTAGAGAACGTATCCATGAATCTTGATCTTCCAAGCTTTAACGCGAAACCCTAAACCCTAGAGTCCTTTCCCAATTACAGCCTGGGTGTGTGAAAGTGCGGCACCCAGCTCTGGACGCTCTCCGCATGCATTACAGCCGTTCAACATGCAACTAACATGCAACTGGTGGATGCATTATCAGCGGAAAGTTTTTTGGGCTACATTTTCTTACTCATGAAACATAACAACAAAACTGTAATGAAATAAACAAGTCACAACAAAACATAAACATAGCATAATATTCTGGGGATCAAGGTTTAGGGAGCTTAGGGTTTCGGATGCCCTGAGCCTTTAGCGTATCACCCTCAAGTTGCCGTTGATGCGTGCTGAGTTTCACATTTGGACGTAGATCGCGGTCGGTATAGCTCCTCCTGGCAGACTGTCGCGAGCGGGCATGATGCTCGCAGGGGCAGCGTTTCTACGTTCCATGATTTGCATCCCGGTCTGCTGCACGGGTGGCGCCTCGGTTTACGACCAGTATGGTTGGGACACTTTTTCAGGCGGGCTTGGGCGGTCAAACTTCTGAGTGTTAAATTAAACCAAACTTCTGAAGTCTTCGCATCCAACAGTATAGGCATCCTTCGCGCCCTGAGTCCTAAGCCGGCTGCCCGCCGCAAAACCTTTGCCCCTGTCTCTGGCGATTCGCCCGTATGGAAGCCAAGCTGCAAGAACTCCAGAGCTAGCTGCCACCTGCCAGCTAGTGTGGCGCAAGGCTTGAGGTGATGGGTTGAGCGTCGTGAGTTTTGCACTCCCTCAACCCTAATCGTTTCGGCTGCTGAACTGCTCAGGGAACCCCGAACCATCCCTGCTGAGGGCTTGCCTGGAGACACATCCCTCAGTCACTACTGCGAAAATCTTTCCTAAAGGTGGCCTGAGCCCTCACTCCCAACTACTCTGAGGCCAAAGTAGACTATTTGGGGGTTTCCGAAAATAGGGCACCCTAATATAGGAGCCCAAAATAAGGTACCCCTTATTTTCGGAGACTCCCATTTGGCCACATGGACGCCGAGGGGTCTAGGAAGAGGACAGCGAGCTTGAGGATTGGGGCGTGGGATCTGCGGTTTAGCGGTTGGGGCTTCGGCTTCGACCCCAGAAAGTGCCTGTGCCTGGAAGGTGGGGGACTTAGTAGGGGTTTAGGGTTTAGGGGTTTAGGGTTTAGTTTTTTTTGGATTTAGGGTTTAGGGTTTAGGGCTTCGGGTTTAGGGCTTGGTAAGAAATAGACTTATAAGTACCCGAGAAGCGATCGTAATTGGGGTCCTGATACGTGTATACGTCTATAACATAGCCACTTATTAAGTCCCGATCCCCAGAGTAGTATGTATCCGAGCCCAGTCACTCGCCACCTTTTTCACAGGCACTGATCACCTGGAAAAGCTCTGGGTCCGATCCCAAACCCTAAACCTCTAAACTCACACCGAAACCCCGCCCCATGACTACAAACGTGACAGAAAGCCAAACCATGAACTCCAAGCATACAAGACCCTTCATCCCACTCCACGGAAGCCCAATGCTCTTTGAGCCGGAAACCCTAACCCCTATACCCTAGCCAACCCCCAAACTCGGCGGAACTGATCTTCGGGCCGGAAAAAAAGGGTATCGGGAACCAAATTTGGTTGCATGTCGCTTGGGGCTTAGAGCTTAATACGGTGTACAGTTTAGGGTTTGGGTGTATGATTTACGTGCCTAAACCCTTGGCACTCATCCTCCTTCGTGACCAAGCCTCTATCCTAAACCACGGATCCTCGAGCCTCATCCCTGAAGCCTAGACCCTCCTCATCCTTCGCACATCAGGTAGCGTTTTAGGGTTTAGGGTATAGGGTTAATCCTACTCATAAACACTTCCACCCCGAAAGCCCCGCACCCGAACCATACTTTACACCCCGATTCCTCAAAAAGCAACCCTAAATCCTAAACCCTAAACCCTTAACCCACACCCTTCAACCCTCAATTACGGCATCTCAGAGCCTCAAACGGGCATGCAACAGAATACAAGGCCAAGCAGCTGAGTTAATGAGCTGCACATCTGCAGCAACTTCAACAGAAGTCATGTCCTTGTGGCATAGTGGCTGACGGCTTTGGGCTTTTGGCTTATGGGGGTTTTGGAGTTAGAACGTATGGCTTGCAGCAACCTCCTTCTGGTTTTCAGTTTGAACGCCTTGTCTGGTATTCTGCCGATGAAGACCCTAAACCCTAAACCCTATAACCCAAAACCCCAAACCCCAAAACCCTGAACCGTATATCCGTAACCTTGTGGCCTTGCGGATTTTAGGGTTACGGGCTCACCTTTGGGGCGCACAGGGTTCGCCGTTCAGGATTGTATCTAAAGCTTGCAGGCATGGCTATGTGGCAGTTCGGGTTCAGGGAAGTTTCGGCTTCGGGCATTGGATTCTGGGGCTGAGGGTTGGGGCTCAAAGTTCGCAAGGTTCGGGCATCCGCGCAGAAAGCTTCCAAACAAGCCAGGGTCTGCAACTACTCGGCCGGACCTGGAAAACCACATCGATAATGTAATCTGATGCGGTGTACTATAACCTATAATGCAATACTATGGATATAGAGTCATGTAAAATCCAGGCTCTAAGTTCAAAAACATCTCCAAAGCATCGCTGAAATGCAATACTGAAATAAAAGGTTCATGGGACGTAGCATCTAGGCTTATAAACAAGGTAACTATCCTTATCCTTACAACCCCAATTACGGCACTTATAACTGTACTTATAAAGTCCCATGAACCTCCAAGTAGCTGTTCAGGAACACCCCTTTCAGGCCCGATGCCTGGAGGATGGCGATGGCGGCCTGCCACTCGCCCCCTGCAGTGTTGATTCGAACAATGTAGGAACCTGATTAAGAAAGCCTGGCCCTATAACTCCAAAATATTAGGGTTCATATTAAGAACCCTAATCAAGAGATTAAGAAATCCTGGGCCTTTCCAAGGGTTCTTAATATGAACCCTAATATATTGGGGATATAGGGCCAGGTTTCTTAATCAGGTTCCTACATGTAGGAACCTGATTAAGAAACCCGGGCCCTATAACCCCCGAATAGTAGGATGCATATTAAGAAACCTAATCCTAGTAAAGTAAAAACCCAAGGTCCCTAAACCCTAAACCCTAAACCCTAAACCCTAATCCTAATAAAGTAAAGACCCAAGGTTTCTGAATCAGTGGGCACGTGGATGCTCTTGTGCCTGCAGGTTTGCACGCAGCACATGCATGTTCAGGCGGTGCGAGGGCGTATGTGTCGTGCAAAGCACAGAGACATGCCAATCGATACGCCCTACAAAGACTTGTCATGCAGCTGACTTCACGAACTTCGCGAACCAGCCCTAGCCGCAAAACCCAAAAACAACAACTGCAAACCTGAAACCCTCAGACACACGGAAAACAACGGCAGCTCTGCCATACGCAGTGCCTTCCCCACAAGAGCTAATCACTGCACTGAAGGCGACGGCGTCCCTTCGCACCTTCCGCGGTTTGCAATATACTTTTACTAGGCTTCAAGGCTCTAGGTTTAGGCTTTAGGGTTTATTCCCCCAGCCCTAAACCCTAAACCCTGAACCCCACACGTTTTGGAGTTTGCTTTTCTCGAGCTCCAAGGCTTAGCGTCAGAGGATTCGGGTTTGAGTTCTGGACTCCCAAGACTCGAGCAATGCTTCAAAGGAGGGGTTTAGGGTTTAGGGTTTAGGGCTTAGGGTTCAGGGTTTAGGGTTTAGGGTTTAAGGTTTAGGGTTTAGGGGCCCGAAGCTGGGGTCGGCAGCCACCCAAGTTCAATTAAGGAGTTTTTTTGCCTCCCACCTAGCTAGGACGAAGCCTGCATTGCAGGATGCAGTCGAACGTACAACTGATCCATCTTCGTGTAAGTAGCCATTGACTGGCACAAGGAAACTATACAAGTAAGGGGTTTAGGGTGTAGGGGTTTAGGAGTTTGCGTTTAGAGCCCCTCCCGCAGAATAAACCGGCCACGAATTAACCATATCAAGCAACACAGGAGCTGTGTTGGCAGGAGCAACATTTAATAGTTCACAAAGCAGACAATACGATTTGGAAGGTTTCTTGAGATTTAGGGTTTGTTGTTTAGGGTGGCGTGCATCCACGACGACGGAAGCACAGCCCCCGAATATTGAAGGCGGTAGCTCGACTTGAAAATGAACCCATACCTATATTTTTAACAACTCTCAACTTCCCCAAACCCCCTACAGTAACTGCCATATTATGGCAGTTGTTGCAGCAAGCTCCTTGTCCTTGTGCAAGGTTATAAGGCTTCGAGTATGCCTTCTGTGCACGAAACCCCGGCTCAAAATAACTTCAAAAACCTTATGTAGAATGGTCTTTGACCCCAAAAGCCCTGAAATATGAGTTCTTAGAGCCTTGCGGCTTGAACTCACACCGTAAGCCCGAAAAGGGGCTTCGACTCTGATGGTGCGCGCAGGGCCGGCAAGGATCCCCAAGTCGGCTAACACTGCCTGACACCTACGAAACAGATCTGCCAATATCTCTTAATGAGGGAATATACCCTCAATCATGGTAGGATCCCTAACGTGATATAAAGTATAGTAAACTCCTTAATTAAGGGATTTGGGGAAGACCTGGGTTAGGGTTTAAACCAAATATTACAACCCTGCACGGCACCTGAATGCGGTGCATAGAGAGCAACAGCGCCAGGGCACTCCGCCAGTGTACGCCTCCCAGCTGCTACGTCTCCTATACTTTGGGGTTTCGAATGTATGCTCTCAGTACCCGAACAGCCGATACTCGGATGTTAAACGGGTTTCTGAAGAGCAACTTCAGGGTGAAGGGCTACACCGAAGAGGGGCCCTTACAGTGATTGAGGTGCACCCGCGACCCTAAATCCTAAACTCAAAGCCCCAAACCCTACAAACCCCAAACCCTAACCAAAAGCCCCTTTTGGGTCTTTGCTCTTCGGATCGGTCACCAAAAACTAAACCCAGTTCAAGGCCTTTCTTGTTGCTTGCGGCTACGGTATCGGGCTCAGGGGTGGCTGGTTTCCAAATGGCGCCAAGCTGCAAGTTCCGAGTCATGGAAAGGACAAGCTCGGGCTTAGGTTTTTCCTTCCCACATAGCAAGGGTTTAGGGTTTAGGGTAGAGGATCAACGGACGGAGGGCTTCGGGAGATGTGTTGCCACCCTAGGGGTAGTTCAATATTGCGACTTGTTGAAACACCGTTGTCAGAGTTCTTTGAAGACCAGTGGCCAGGTAGCCGTACAGGGCAGTCTGGGAGGTGAGGGCAACAGGAGCATTGGGCTTAAAGCCTTGAAACAATCTAGCTGCAGCACCAGGCGTGGAACATGTTCTGAGGTACCCTAAACCCTAAACCCTAAACCCTAAACCCTAAACAGCTTTTGACAACAGGGTTCTGCAAATAGACTCAATGCCCGGCCGGGGACTTGTGCCACCACGGCACTTTCGGACACTGCAGCAGACTCAGCAGGAGAATGCCGGGTCTTTGTACATCGGATGCAGCATGCGTGTTCGCCTGCGCTTCCCGTCTGTCTGCCTGGATCCTGTTTTAGGTCCTCAGGAACCACAAAACCAATCCGCGAATCTACTCGCCGAGCCCTGTGTTTTGGATTCGGGCCATGTGGCAACTCTGCATTCAACATCCACGGAGCTTGGCTGTGCGACACATGACAGCCACCTTTCCAAAATCATCTAATCGGAGCCTTAATGAGCCCTTGGCCAGTCACCAATCCACAACTCACACTCGTCCTTGCTGTAGATCGACAGATACCTCCACCTGAGCAAGGTGTACTGCACATTACGGCTCGAGATCCGAACATGCAATCCGGGCTGTTCACACGCTGTTTGGCTTAGGCTGGAGGTGAATCTTTTATCCGGCGATAAAGGGGAATGCTGCAAGGGAGCTGCCTAAGCTGCAGAGATATCAGGTTCGCATCCGCCTAGCTTGCCTTGTTGACGCTGCCCGTGCCCTTGGCACACATGTTGTCTAATTACATCCCGCAGATACAGTACAGCACGGAAGCCTGTTGCTGAATGCTTGGTCTGCCTTTCTAGTTCATATCAGCAACGGCATCAGGCATCCGAGGGCCTGCGGCACAAGTGCGAGGCAGCGGGCAGCATGCGACCTCGCTTCAGAGTCTCATCGGGTATTGGACCGGCAAGCGAAACGTACACAGCTTGCTCCCCTGTCTTGCCTACGGAAGCAAACTCTTCTAAACGAGAACTTGTCGAAAGGTCCTACGGCATCCGAAGTCGTGAGCCACATTGCTGCTGCTGCTGCTGCTGCNNACTACTACTACTACTACTAGTAACACCACTGCCACTCCTGCTCCTACTCCTACTCTTGCTCCTCCTCTCCTCCTCCTCCTCCTCCTGCTCCTCCTGCTCCTACTCCTACTCCTGCTCCTGCCCCTGCTCCTGGTCCTGCTCCTACTGTTGCGGCTGCCACTGATACTACGACTGCTCTTCATGCTCCTCCTGCTGCTGCGTCTGATATCGCTGCTGCTACCGCTGCGGCTACTGAAATTGCTACGACCACGACGACCGCTACCACCCACGATCCCACCATTCCGGGCCTCAGATTCGTGTCTTCAGGGCTTGCGAGCCGCAGCCCCAAGGACGACTCAGAATCGAATTTGGGGTTGCAGACCACATGAACCATGACCTCTTTGAGGGACTTGTTCTTTCTGCTTCCAGCAAGGACCGTCTTCTATAAAGAAATCCTGAAAAGAGCCTAGTGAAGGCTGGAAGCCATGCGAGGGCGGCTTCGCAGGCAGCGACGGACGACTCGAGAACGATGGCCTGGCAGAGGCCATACTGCTGCATTCAAGCCGATATATTTTCTCTATGAAGGGCTTGAGTTGCGATGGACTTGATGTGACTGCCTTTTCATGAGTTTTAACGCAATATATTTTCTCTATGAAGGGCTTGAGTTGCGATGGAGTTGATGTGATTGCCTTTTCATGAGTTTTCACGTTCATCGATAGATATGTCGGGCTTTCGAACTGTCAGATAGCTACAGCCGATTCCAACACCAAACCTTGCACCTTGAAGCACAGTCCACTGTTGGGTGTTCCTTGCTTTGGGTTTGGAGGGGCTCAGCACCCGATCAGACACCCGTCCCGACACTCAAGAGCACTGGAAGCTCTGCTGTGATATATATATATATATATATATTTATTTGTATTTATTTATTTATGAATACCGGTCGAGAACTCTGAACTTATATACCCTTCCAAGAACCCTTGTAGGCAAGTCGCGGTTCTGGGCACCTCGCTGGTGTACATGAGGTCTAGCCTCACCGCTGATAAAGGGTTTAGGGTTTCGGGCCTAGTTGTAAGGTTTAGGATAAAGGGCAAATAATAACTCAGATCGAAACATCAACAACAGGTCCGTATGGCCACTGTATCGGCGTTTCACAAAACTATACATACACTGGTGCCCGAACGTCTGAGCATCTGCAAACGTCTATAGTCATACCTGCACAACAAGCAAGCGTAGCTAACACATCACTCCTTGAGAGAGCTTTGGCATCGATAGCAACCGCAAGCCACAGCAACAATCACAACCTCAACAGCCGCCAATGTCTTCGCAATAGATACCAGCTTTAAATGAACAATTCCCACCTCCAGGATACTGACAAAATACAGAGGATGTCATGTTATAACTATAACGCAGAATACCAGGGGAGATTGTTACAAACTATCCTTCCTAGTTTCAAAAGACATTGTAAATCACCGTAACCTACTTTGCGTAAGAACCCACCCAATCCCTCCAACACGAAGTCCGAAACGCTTAAACGACCGCACCTTACACCGAATCTGCAGACTCCCATTGCCTTGGCTGCGAAAAACTCTAATGACCCTACACTCCTGTACCTTCACCCTAGAAAGCCCGCATAAAATGAGGCCGGGAGCCAGCTCAGGGACAGCTGCCACCGCCCGGCAGCACCACCTCGAGTGGAGCTAGTCGTCAGAGCTTGATGCCATGTTCAGCTTATGTAATTGAAGGCTTAGCAAAGTAAAGTGTTTAGGGCCTAGAACTTCGGAGAAGGAAGTCGAGAAGCTCGAGGACGTCCCACTGGCTAGGGTTAAGGGTTAAGGGCTTTCGGGTTAGCATCTTCAGTGCTTCGAGTGCCATGAACCCTCTTGCTTTGGTGCTCTGTCCTGCGCACAGCACACCTGCAGCCAGGCAGCAGGCACTGACTACGGTCGAGTAGCTGACGACCTTGAGCGTTTGAGGTTTTGAGGTTGGGGATCCAGATGAGGTCTCTGCGTTCACGGTCGGAATCTCTTACAGGAAGCATGATAGCAAGACAGTCCCCTTTAGGGAATCGAACTTAGAGTTCCTTTCTTCGGGGCTTTTTCGGAGGGCTTCAGAGTTCGGGCCTGGGCACCCGTGCACGATCCGCCGCAGCGGACAAAAGATGCAATAGCCGGGTGCCGGGTTAGGGTTTAGGGTTCAGGGTTCAGGGTTTAGGGTTTAGGGTTTAGGGTTTAGGATTTAGGGTTTAGGGCCTATGGGGTTTAGGCACAGAGGCTGCAGAGCCTGATCTCTTGCAGTTGGTATTCAAAACGGGGTATGCAGCTACAGCGTTCACTCCGCCACCAGTACACTTTCATAGAGTTTGCGGTACGGCAACCTGCCGGACGGCACAAGACTATTGCGAAGGGCAGCGTCGGGGTCAGATGTCAGATGCTGCCCTGCAACCCAGAAGTACATATTTGTGTTCAAGGTGCCGCGCAGCCGTGTACTTTACTTGTGCAAGCATGCTTCACCTTCATCTTGGAACCTAAACCCTAAACCCTAAACCAGGAACCTATGTTCGAAACTGACGGTCTGTTGCTCCCGAAACAAAAACTCGCAAAACAGCAAGGCCTGGAGAAGTCTCTCTTCAGAACAGCTTAGACTCCTGGCCAAGCATCATCTTATAGTATAGTGGAGTATAATATAAACAGTAGTGTGTACAAGAAATGAAAAATAAATACGTAAACACATATGTGTGTACATATATACATACATACATCTACTAATGGCTCTGAACCAAACTGTCACTGAAGATGTAACCTGAAGGTAAAAGAGCTCGGTGCCTAAGCATCCGGCATTGGGTACTAGGAGTCGGTCGAACATTGTCCACAGCAGCTGCGCGGCATGGTGCCTGTAGTAGTCCACAGAACCAGCCGTGATGCAGTGACTACGGAGTGTTCGTCCTTTGGCTTCCACATGCCGTCTGGCATGCCCCAAGCCCTGCATTGCAGCTCCGTTCGAACAGGATATCTTCGAGGGATTCGGGATTGTTTGTTTGCAGCGATGCTTAAGGAGTTCAGGGGCAAGGAATGGTGTGCCTGCAAGGGAAATCGAAAGTTTCAACACGACATTGAGTGCGGAGAAGTCTTTCGCGACCAAAACCTTGCTGTACCTCTGCATTCGCATGTGTCCGTTGCAGGTTGAAAGCTCAAAACCCAATACCCTAAGCCGCTTGTAGTACCCTTGTGGTAGCCCTTAGAGAGCCATTATAAGGCCTGGCATCTCCCCCTGCCCCCCCTCAGGCGCCTTTCTGAACTTAAACCCAGGGAAGCGGGTTTAGGGTTTAGGGTTCAGTGCCCATGAGGAACCCTTCCATCACTAGAGCAAGAACTCATGCTTGGTTTAAGGCATACTCTGAACATCCGGGGGGTGGGGGGGTGGGCTCTGGTGCTCGAAAAAACGCCGGCCACTGGATCCCTCTTTGCAAGAGCTCTAAACTTTAAATCCTTAAGCCGCTAGAATAAACCCAAGACCCTAAACCTCAACACCCTAAACCCTAAAAGCCTAAACCCTAAGACTCTAAACCCCCGAGCTCTAAAACCAAAAAATCGAGCCCTGAGTCTCAAGCCCCGAAACACAAAGTTGCAAGCCGTTCAGGGGTTTAGGGTTTAGGTTTTTAGGGTTTAGGGGTGTAGGGGTTTAGGGTTCAGGGATTAGGATTGAGGGGTTTAGGGTTAAGGGGTTTAGGGTTCACGGTTTTAGGATTTGTAGGGCTTTGGGTTGCCAGGATCCCTTGCGCTTTCGGGCGTTTAGGGTTTGGGGTTTAGCGTTTTTTTGTTTTGGGGCTGTAGGGCTTTTAGGGCTTAGGTTTTCGGGTTCAGGGCTCTGGGTTTTAGGTTCTAGGTTTAGAGTTTCATGGACAGATGGAAGAGGTACTTAACAAGTTGGCTGTCGTTAGTACAGTGCACATTGGGTCATTAACTCTAATTACTACTTGCAACTACAAGGGACGACCTTGTGACAAAAAAGGAAGATGAACACAAACCCTAAACCCAGTAACCCTTCTTTGAATCTGGATCTCTTTGCTATGCCAGACGTAGCAAGGAAAACGTCAACTCGTGTGATCACTCTGCGCAGGATTCAGGAGCAACTTAGTCTCAATAACCCTGTAACTTCAGGCTGAATCAGGGTTCAGGGCTTCGGGTTAACGGTTTAGGCTTTAGGGTTTAGGGTTTAGGGTACACCTTAACCCCATAACTCTATAAACCCCAAACTTTGTAGTCTAAACCCCAAACCCAAACCCCGAAGAAGCAAAGCCCGTGGCCATTGGCGGCCCTGCTTGCAGGCGCTGATGGCAGAGTTGAAGCCTGAGAGTCGGGTCTAGGAGTCTTTTCGTTTTATCAGGGCCTTACTAGATAATTACCTATGGTTCCTTATTGTAGTTCTAGTGTAGTGTAACCCAAAACCTATTCTGATTATGGACGCTAACTTCGTTGTTTTGGTTTGGGGTAAAACAGGGGCCTTAATAATTACCTATACTATCTTGGGGGTCCCCTATTATACTTATAGCATAATATGGCGCAAAACCCATTTCTAATTATGAAGGCCCCTGCATTAGTTGGTTTTGGAGCTTAGGAGCCCTTTTTCCGCACGGACTGTCCTACACCCTGAACCCTAAACCCCGGTTCAGTTGGCTTTAAAGGGGTTTAGGGCTCAGGATCTGGGAAGTCAGCCGCTGGAGAGATTCTAGGTTTTGGGAACCCGAGGGGGCAAAGGACCCAACAATTCAGGATGCTAAGCCCTAAAACCCTAAACCCTAAAGCCTGAATCACCGAAACACACTCCTGAGTTGCACCTCCAACGAAAGTGCACCTCGGAACCCCTAAATAACCCTAAAAGTCGGATACAGAACCTACAGCTTCGCTTGTGCAGCTGCAACGAGGGAAGAGGACATCAAGCCATGCTCGAACTATGGACCGCACTCTAAACCCCAAAGCCTTTTTTGAACCCGGAGCTCTCTCCAATAAACCCCAAACCCTAAATCCTAAACCCTCTTTGCCCCTTCGTCTGTTGGGCGTAGGGTCCTCAACTTCGGCGTCTACCTAAATACAAATCATCCGCAAACCGGCGGTGTAGGGCTGACCTGGATCCCAAAGAACCTACTGTAGAGGCCTTAATAATTAGAATAGGGTTTTGGGGCCCATTATACTATAATTATAACAAGGAAACCTAAGGAATAATATAAGTAATTACTTAGGCTTCTATATGGCCTTTTTTAAAATTTTTCAAGGACTCACATGCGGAAATCATAGCAGGGAGCCCTGGAAAGGAAGGCTCCAGGTAGGGCTTTTTCTCAAAGGGTCCTACCTATAGTCTCCATTGTAGTTCATTTTTTGGTTTAGCCAGTTATATATATTAAGAATTTTAGAAGGTATCCCCAAAGAGGAACTACAATGGAGACTACAGGTAAGCATCTATATACTAGAATGTAGGGTTTCTAGATTAGGAATGACGATTATGATTTGGGAAGTATACCCCAGAACAGTACCTAGGACCCTTTGGGCATGAAAGGTGCCAAAGAGCTGATGACATCAGCCTGGATCTCTTGCGCAGACATGGCAACCAAGAGCTGCAACCTGTGTAGGGTGTTTAGGTGTTTACACGCTCTCGCAGCTAGGACTCCGCCAGACGAGGTCTCTGTGTTCAACTACACCAAAGTGACACGAGGACAAGGTGATTGCGGTTTAGGTGTTTCGGGTTCAGGGTTTAGGTGCCTTTTTGTTGTTTGGTGGTTTAGGTGTTTCGGGTTCAGGGTTTAAGGCTTCGGGCTAAGAGGCCTGACGCTTCCGTCTGGGACATCTGGGTTTCCTACGAAAAGGTTCATGGGACTTAGTAACTAGGCTTATAAGTAAGGTAGCTGCACTTATAATTACTTATAACCCCAACTAAGGTACTTATAACAATACTTATTAAGTCAACCCCAAAACCCTAAGCCCTAAACCCAAAACCCTAAACCCTAAATCCTAAACCCTAAAAGTAGCTGAAGCGTACGCGCTCTTCGGGGGCTTCGCCGAAGTTTTTTTCCCTCTTGAGCCCCAGGCCTCCGCCCCGAACCTGCTCATCCTAAGATAGGAATTAGAATAGGGTTTGGGGGTCCATGAAACAAGCATTATAGTATAATGAACCCCCAGTATAGGAATTACAACAGGGTTTGGGGGTCCATGAAACAAGCATTATAGTATAATGAACTCCTAATATAGGAATTAGAGTAGGGTTTGGAGGTCCATGAAACAAGCATACTATAGTATAATGAACCCCAAAATAGGATTGGTAGTTATTTAGGCCTCTATATTGCGGGTCTAGGCTTTAGGGTTTAGATCCTTCATGCTCAGCTCAGCCTGTCTATGGTTTAGGGTGTAGGGTTCAGGGTTTAGGTGTGAATGTGACGACGGCTCATGTTAGAGACTTTTAAGTAGTTGTTGACAGCCAGTTCGATGCGAACGCACCTACCTGAATGCCAATCACTTTACCTAACATCAGCTACACCAGCCTCTGCTTCTGTGGACTGGCTAGGTGTTGCGAAAAAAGTTACTGCAGGGGCCGTAAAAATTAGAACGGGGTTTGGGGCCCATTCTACTAGAATTATAGTAAAGGAACCCCCAAAATAGTATAGGTAATAATTAAGTCCCTATACTACGAGTTTCGGTGTTTTGAAGGGCCGAGGCTTGGAAGTTGTTGCTCTGACCCCCCAAGCCTGAACAAAAAAAGTTGGGCTTTCGACTGACACATTGTCAGTCAAGGCTCACAACTACACGTTCAGACGTTCGTCAGGCTTTACAAATGGGGCTTAAGGAGTTTATGGATGGAAGGTTGAGGGTTAGAAGAAACTTGCCTGTTTCAGCTGTGCGGGTCGGCTTTACCGTAGGGTCTGTACACGTGAAGGTGCTTCTCATGTGCAGTCGGTCGACGCATGCTGCCATTCCCCGACTTTCTCGCAAGTTGCGATAGTGGTGCTGAAAGTCACCTCAGCGCAGCTTCGTTCTTCTGCCTGGTTGTGCTCGCGCTGAAACGGAAGAAGAACAGTCGGCCAGGTAACTCTTCTTTGCTATTGGGCTTGAGGACTAGCCAGGTCGGCCCCACCTCTATCGTCACGACTGAGGCTCATGCACATGCCACCGTCAGTCAGCCCTGACACAGCCCACCAACGAACTTTCACGATAGGCACCCCTATAACCTGAACCCTGGGCACTTAGCAAAAGCTATTAAATAAATCATCAAGAACAAGGAAATATAACCTGAACCATGGACACTTAGCAAAAGTTATTAATGAACCATCAAGAATTTTTGAAGGGAAGAGCCTGGCTTGAAAGTCCGGAGCCTCAGGGGCGATTCCGAGGAAGATGGAGCATTGGCCAGGGCGATCTAGTTTAGGGCTTTCAACCCACTACGGACAAGTGTATCCCTTTATCAGTCCCGGTGTAAGTTTACAATGGTAGACCGCAAAAACCTTGCCTAAATTATTCAGGCCTCCGCAATGCTAACATTAGAAACAACCCAGAAAGTCCAAGTACCCAAGTAGTAGGGTTTTATTTGCCAAAGCCCATACTCCGAGTGGTTTTGGGACGTTGAAACCCCAATATTTGGGTGCTTGGGGCAGAGGAACCCTAAGCATGGTATCATTCGCCACGGGCTGAGACTTGGATTCAGGAGCCAGGTCGCCGAGAAACCTCCTTCGTCTTAGAGGCTGAAGGTTTAGAGCTTTCGGTCTGTAGGGTTCAGGGTTGAGTCTGCCGGGTTTAGGGCTTTAGGGTTCAGTGTGGCGGGCTGAGGGTGCAAGACGAAAGCGCTAAGCCCAAAATCTCTAGAGTCGCAGCCAAAGCAAGCGGTTCCTGCAAAGTGTATCGACCTGCCGCCGAGCCACGAGATTTGGCAACATGTTCGCCTCCGCAGAATTCATTGGGGGCACAGTGGGGAGGGATGCGCTCAGATTCCAGTGCAAGAGGACATAAACATACGTACATACCTACATATATACATGCAGACAAACAAACATACGTACGTACGTACATACATACATACATACATACATACATACATACACGCATACATGCATACGGGCATGCATACATACAGATGTGTGAATGTATATATATATATACATATGCTACCACCCCCCCCTCATGTACCCACGCCTTGTGCTTGAATCGTGTGCGAAAACTCACGTAAATCGCTACTTTACTTTGTATGGTAGCATAACTGCTCATTGCTTGCAGTGCGCTCTACACGTACGAGAAAGTTCATGTGACGCAGAAAACACAACACAAGGACCCTTTTTATGCTGTGGGTAAAAGCCCTAATTTCCTGGGTGTTGTTGTGTGAAGTGAACCGAAAAACCAACGAAAGAATGAGTGCGTGCTTTTGCTCCTCTCACAACAAAAAACAGGAACTTAAGTAGGAAGCACGCACTAATGGCTTTTCAATCACTTGTTTTCCCTTATCAAATCTGGCCTGTTTCCTCAAGCCCTACATGAAATAAACCACAGTCAAAGGGCAAGAACACATGACAGCGGTTAGTGGGTGTTTTGTTCGTTTAAACGCAACGAATGGCACGATTTAAATTAACAAAACACAAACG